GCCACCCAGCGCTGCTTTGGCCGCCTGACGGACGCTTGGCGTCAGCAGTTCCCTGGGGCTAGTGAGATCCCTCGTTGGGATGAGCTTCTCAGGGCTGGTGTAGCGATCTTTGATCTTGATTATGATGCTATCCTTGCTGCTATGTATGTTGTGGATTATAGTGGGGAGAATGAGGGTTACCGTTGTTTCCAGCCCGACCCGGGCATTGGTACTGCTGCGCTAGGTGCTTGTGAGGCTGCTGCTCTAGGTGCCAGTGCGTCTGTGCTCTCAGGTACTGGTGAGACTGCGCTCTCAGGTACTGCGTCGTCCTCGTCCTCCCTCACTTTCACACTTGACTCCGGAGCTTCTCGCTCCTTCTTTCGAGACCGCACTACCCTTACGCCGCTCGGCCGGCCGGTTGCGGTCTCCCTTGCTGACCCCTCTGGGGGTCCTGTCCTGTCTCACTTCTCCACTGTCCTCCCGTGTCCGGCTGCCCCTTCGGGCACCCTGTCGGGTCTGTACCTTCCCTCGTTCTCTACGAACTTGGTGAGTGGAGCGGACCTGCAGGATGTGGGGGTTCACCAGTTCACTCCTGCGAGTCAGCGGGTGACCCACTGCACGGAGGCACGCACAGGCCGACACCTGGCCACGTTCTCGCGTCGGCCAGGGTCGAGTCTCTACACCCTGACCGTTGAGTCTCCTCCTGTCCCTGCGTCTGGTCAGGTGGCTGCGTCAGGTCAGGTGCTTGCTGCTGCGTCCCGGTCAGGTCCTGAGTCTGCCCCCTGTTCTTGTCGCCTCCTGTCTCACGAGACTCTCCTGTGGCACCACCGTCTCGGCCACCCCTCCTTGCCCCGTCTTCGGAGCATGGCTTCCCGTGTCCTTGTCTCTGGTCTTCCCCAGTCTCTCCCTCCTCTCCCCTCCGGGCCAGGACCTTCCTGTGTCCCCTGTGTCGAGGGTCGCCTCCGGGCTACTCCTCACTCCTCCCACTTCCCCCCGACAGAGGCTCCCCTGCAGACGCTTCACATGGATGTGTGGGGCCCAGCCCCCGTCCGTGGGCAGGGTTACGAGCGCTACTTCCTGTTGGTGGTTGACGACTACTCGCGTTACACCACAGTCCTCCCCTTGCGCAGCAAGGGTGCGGTCACTGAGGTGCTGATCGACTGGATCCGCGAGGCTCGTCTCCAGCTCAGGAAGAGCTTCGGCTCGGACTTTCCTGTTCTGCGTCTGCACTCTGACAGAGGCGGAGAGTTCTCTTCTCGCCTTCTGCGGGACTACTGTCGTGCACGGGGGATCCGCCAGACCTTCACGCTTCCGGACTCACCACAGCAAAATGGGATTGCTGAGCGCCGCATTGGCATGGTCATGGATGTCGCTCGTACGTCCATGATGCATGCGGCTGCCCCCCATTTTCTGTGGCCGTTTGCGGTGAGGTACGCGGCGCATCAGCTCAACCTTCACCCCCGGGTCTCTCGGCCTGCGATGTCCCCAGCCTTGCTGTGGACGGGGAAGGTTGGCGATGCGTCTGTGTTCCGTGTCTGGGGATCTCGGGCGTTTGTCCGCGACTTGTCTGCGGACAAGCTGTCCCCTCGTGCTGCTCCCTGTGTCTTCCTTGGCTTCCCCACTGACGCCCCAGGGTGGCAGTTTTACCACCCCTCCTCTCGTCGTGTTCTGTCCTCCCAGGACGTCACGTTCGACGAGTCCGTCCCCTTCTACCGTCTCTTCCCCTACCGCACTCCTTCCCTCCCCCCTCCCCCGGACTTCCTTGTGCCGGTTCCCCCCCCGGTAGACCCCCTCCCCCCTCAGGTTCCTGCCCCCTCAGGTGTGTCCCAGGTAGACGCCGTTGACCCGGTCGAGGTTACTGGTGACTCTGGTGCTGCTGCGGGTGCTGAGCCTGGGGGTGCTGACTCTGGGGGTACTGTGTGCGGGGGTGCTGAGCCTGGGGGTGCTACTGCTGGGGGTGCTGTGCCTGGAGGTGCTGGGTCTGGGGGTGCTGAGCTGGGAGCTGCTGAGCCTGGGGGTGCTGCGTCTGGAGCTGCTGAGCCTGGGGTTTCTCCTGCTGCTGCGTCTCGCCGGGAGCCCCTCTCTCCACAGGAGCTGCGCGAGTGGTTCGCTCGCCGCTGGAGGCGTGCTGCTGAGTCTGGAGGTGCTGCTGGAGCTGGAGCTGGAGCTTCTTCGACCGTCGAGGGTGCGGGTGCTGCCGGTCCCCGGGCTGCTGGACCTGCGGGTCCTCCTGGAGCTGGAGGTGCTGAGGGCGTTGGTGCTGAGCCTACTGCTGTTGGTCCTGCCGCTGGAGGTGTGGGTGGCGCTGGTGCTGTCGCTGAGGGTGCTGGTGCTGTCCCTGCTGAGTCTGGAGCTGCCGCGCGGCCTCGGCCGTACTTCGTTCCGCTCCTGCAGCAGGTTCTTGGTCTTTCTCCTCCCGTAGAGGGTCCACCGCCTGTCCAGTCGCAGTCCCTGCTGGAGCCTTCCTCTCCACTGCCTGCTACCTCTCCTTACACTGGTCCTACTGGAGGTCTTGCTGAGC